AATTGAACCAGCTTCTGAAGGTAATATAACATTTTATTTTGTGTGCTAGTATGTGTATGGAGGTCATTGGATGCATATGTGTTGGTTTAAACAAAGTACAGTTGCGTATACATATATTTTAACATGAATTACAGGAAGCGATACCAGTGCCCAGGCAGCGTTAAAATATCCCTTTAGGTGTCATTTAAACTTCAGTATTATTTTGACCTGGGAGATGGAGGCGGTGGGTGCCTCCCTCTGCCTTTGTGCCTCTGCTCTTTGCACACTGAGCCACGATGCAACGGTGGTTTCATCTTCCATTTTTCATCGCGTATCTCTGGGACTGCAGGAGAGGTTCTTGTCAGCAAAAATAACTCTCCCCTCATTTGCCCTGTTGTGATAAACTGGCATACTGATTGCCTATGATTCCTGCAGTATAATTTGCAGATTACTTAACTCTCCTGGGTTCTGATTGTGAAAAGATGCTTCTGTTTTGGCATGACGTCAGCTGAGCCCCCAAATAAGTGCAGCCCTAATGATCTGCAGGTATAAGTTCTGCTCTTTGATATGCATACTGGCTCATTTCTCCAGATGACAGCATAATGCATGCAACAAGGTAGACAAGCTTGCTTACATTTAAAAAAGATACAATATAAGTAATACAAACACAGATGAATCAACATAAACAAGTTGTGTGTTAATTGCTGCAGTCACAGCAGACTCTGAGAAGCACAGTTTGTAAGTGAGAGGCTGAAGCTCCTTTCTCCTGGCTGAAAATACCACGTGCAAAACAAAAGGGCTTTGAAAAAGTCTGCATATGATGGGAATAAATTCCCCCAGAAGGAGTTAGTGAAGTAGATGCGTTTGTCCAAAATAAAAGTGCCATGTAATAAACAAAAAGAGCAGCTGAATTGACATTTGCTGTGCAATAGTAAACAGTGTCACTTTTAACTCCTGTTAAATACTCCAGCAGAGTTTTTCCTGGCTCTGTCTATTTCTCCTGGCTGACTAAGAAGGCCTTTAATACTAAACAGTGCGTTTTAATTACTTTCACCATTCAACTCATTTCAGATTAAAAAATACCACGTTTAGAAATAATACACAGAGTTGACTTAAACGTAATGGTTGTAGAACTTGAAGAAATATGTGGGTTGGCAACCGTTCCACAAGTCCTTTGTTGTTTCAGAGTTTAGCAGTTAAGAACAACACAAATACATTTTGTTTGTGGTGGGTCACAGGTTCAAAGAGACTTTGAAAAAATAGACTGGGGATAATTGGGTTATCAGATGCAGACACTGCAGGGAATTGAGCATTATCTCTTCTCAGTGTTAGGACTACTGGGTCACTTCCTTCACTCCCCAGCTTCATTCTCTGTCAGCCTGACACGATCCAGATGACCGAAATGGGCTTTTACTGGTTACCACCCCAAAGTTCTCCCTTTCTCCATCCTTCAACAGGTTGATTTTATGAGCCATGGCCGTACTAAATAACGTCTTGCCTTGCTTTCTCCCCCATTGATTCAACAGTCTTTAATTGCTTGGAACACAAGCCAGATCCTTGGATTCAAGTGAGTCTTCCTTCACCTTCAGCTGCTGTTACTCATTTCTATTAGACAACGTCTAACTAAGATATTGACTTGCACTTTGACATTGGCACTGCTACTGTGTTTGATTGCACTGTCAATCTAAAAAAATCTTTCAAACTAGCAGTAAAACACGTAATTGTTTAATTTCATTCTGCATAAGCTTTTCTGTCCAACGCTTGCTTTCGTTGAGAGGCTGTGATAGGCCACTCTGCATTGCATAGAGGCAGCGGATAGCGCATTAACCAACTCATTGTGCACAGTATTAATTCACTACTTCTGAGTATTTTACAAGTGCTTTGCACGAGCAGGTAGGAGATGCTTATCTACAATTATCCTCAATTAATGATGGCAAGAGACTATATAGTTTTGCACAATAAATTGGGCATATTTTTAAGATGATCGTTTGCTTTCTACTGCATACCTGCATGACTTGAGTTCTGTGGGAAAGCGTGAGAGCATTCATTGTTTGTGTCTTCCAAAGAAAAGAACTCCAACATCAGCATGGCTATTTCCTATTTCATACATTGTTATCCACAGGACTTGGTGCATGGGTACGTGCTGCTCCTCGAGGTGTATTTCAGGCTGTGGAAGCAGGGCTGGCAGTCCTGAGTTCTGAAATCCACAGATAGAAGCGTGTGGCTTCACTGAGTTTATCTGTCATTGTGTTGAAGTGCATTGTAACCGTAGCCAGGTCAATATCACTGAAAATCCACATCTCAGAGAAAAAAGTTTCACTTTTTGAATCCAAACACAACGTTCAGAGGAGCACCCAGAGGGAGGTCCTGCAGTTTGAACCTTGTACTGTGTCTTTGATGTAAGACCTTGAAATCTTTCTTTGTTTTCATTATTGGAATTGTTTTTAAACAGCTGAAAATAGCACTTAAAAACAATTAATCTTAAGTATTTCAGCTTAATACTGAGAATTTATTGTCATCCACTTACTTCCTCTCCATGCTGAATGTTTAATGCCAGCTTGCTTGCGCTTACTCCGTAAATTAGCATTATCCACCCTATATCTGCTCGTTTCTGAAGAATTATTATACAAAGCCTCATTTTAAGGAGGTCAGACCCCTGCATGATGATTTGTTGTTCATGAATCTACTTTGTGCCAATTTGTGTGTGCATGTGCAATCAGAAGTGACTTGGAGTGAGTGAGATAATAATCATCTGCTGCTGATATGAAGACTTCCTCTATTCGGCTACCATGAATCAGGCTGATTCCAAGTGAATGAGATTTTAATCACCTGTCACTGCCGCCAGCACTTTCTCTATATTTATGATAATTTTTTTTGTCTTTTTATTGAAATCAGTGTTGACTGAATCAAGTAATCCTGATTAGCAATCTCACTGTATCCAGTCAAGAGTGAAATGCATCAGAGCATTATTGGTACACTGAACATACTGAAATTGAAAAAAAGAAAAAAAAGAAAAGGCCAGCCTAAATGTGTCAGCACGTTGTCTTGGTTATAGGTGGGCACTGGGATGGGTGAGCTCATACTAATTGCTCCCCAAACTTGAGCTGCTGCTCATCACCAGTGGGCAGCATGGCATGGTGGTGGTATGTGGTGACTTGCAGGCTGGATGTTGTTCTGCGCATTGGCTGTGCTTTGAATCACACCTCTCAGGTCCCATTTGGGTACTGAGAGCAAAGCCACCAGGGTGGTGTGCATAGAAGTCAGGGCAGCGCGGGCAGTGCTGCCAAAGAGGCATTTTCTTTCTTTTAGTGTTGTAATATATGTGTAAACAGAAGGGTGTAAAGCAACGTGGGGCACAAGTCTACTTCTATGTGAGCTCCTACTTTTTATCCTGTGATAGTACTGCCATGCATCATAGGAAGTTTTCAGATCTTTCCTGCTATGGATTTAAACCCAGGATGTGACAAATAAGTACCTTAAGATCCCTTTTGCATTCAAGGCCAGGCTGGATGTGGCTCTGGGCAGCCTGGTCTTCTGGTTGGCGACCCTGCACATAGCAGGGGGTTGAAACAAGATGAGCATTGTGGTCCTTTTCAACCCTGGCCATCCCATGATTCTATGATTTTAATTTTTAAAAGAGTGATTTTCCAAAGGCAGGGGATTGAGTTGCCCTCCCAGGGAGATGGGCAGCCCAAAATGGGGCCGCAAAGCTCTGCGTCCTGCTTTCTGAAAGAGGGAATATTCAGCAGAGCAATATTCTGAGCCTAAGTACATGGCAATTAGATATCTCAGTATTCAACTCAGTCCCAAAAATCATATTTCGCTACATTACAAAATTATAAGCATCATAAGAAATTACACTGCTAATTGTACAGTAACTGCTGTAGTGCTTGAGGGAAAAAAAAAAAGTGTACATAGGGGTACCTAGATCTACTTCCCTTATTCCTATTCCTTCAGGGTTGCTGAAGCTGGGGGTTATCTGTTATTTAGTCCTTACATTCATTTTCTGGTACTCACTGTTTTTCTTTTCCATTTCTTTTGGATGGATGCAACATTCAACTTCATTCTCTCTTTTCTTCCCCTCCTTTCTTACCCAGCATGCCTGTGCTTCAGGCTTTTGTCATCCGTCCCTTCCCATCCTTCCCCTTCCTGCTGCCTTTGTTCCACCCCTAACCTGTTAGCAGCGACTTTCTGCCTCTGCGCCCATTGGAGCGCTTCCCACTGCTGTCATGGTCAGCCACACGCTTCCCTGAGATCTTTTCCTCCCTCAGTTTTTATCATTTTGCCTTCTGTGCCAAGCTGATTCCTTTCTTTTGTCTTCCTTCCTGTTCATAAAGCTCTGTTTGGTGTCGGGCCTGTTTTTATGTGGTCTCTTTCACCCAAGAGCTACAACTATCCGCTTCTGAAGTGATTTACAGCTCTGTCACTCGTCTCCTGACTTGTTTTTCTCTGCAGACCTGTAGCTCAGCCTCTCCTTTGAATCTCTCTTTCAGAAGGTTTGCAGTGAGCTTGAACTAAATGTGAGCAAAAGTTAACATCAGTTTCAAACTGTTTCACAGTTTCAGAGGATGCTGTGCACCTGATCTCTGTCACCCTGACACCATGCATGAGCTGTCTTTGAGGACATCACTTTCAAGCTGCAGACAAGCTTCTTCCATCATATGAGTTTCCTTTTACTTTTTTCTTTCACTGAAAGGGAGAATTCTTATCCTGGATCCTATGCTTTCAGCTGTCTCCCTTTCTCATTCTCATCCTTTCCTCTTCTACTTCAAAAGACCACAAAACCTTCATCTCCCTGTTGTTCTCACCGTAAGACCACTGTAGGCTCCATCCTGCCCATTGCATTAAATACAAGTGGCTCCCCCTGCATTCAAGGCATTTACAATTTACCAAACTTTTTCATCTTACCAGGTGCAAACCTCACCTCTTTGGTCTGTCAGCTGCACCAGCACTGCCAACCATCCGTGCTTGTGTGGAAGAATGTGGTCTCACATTCTTCCTCATGTGTAAGATATGAAAATCCCTTCTCCTCGATGTAAACTGCAAAAAAACATCGATTTGCTTTCTTTCAGTTGTCTCCCCTTATTTGTCTCACTGCAGTTATAGCAACGTGCAGATCAATGCCTAAAGAATACGCCAAGGAAGAATACTGGCTTCCTCATTATTCCCGTGTCGTGAGATAGGGTAGTTTGATCGGAAGCAGCGGTTGTGGACACGTGTTCTGGCATCAGATGGGTGCATGTTCTGGTAGTGAATGGGAGGAGTAGTGCTTCATTGCTGCAGGATGGAAGGCCAGGCAGAGGGCTGCTTCAGAGAGAGAGAGACCTGGGCTGCATTCCACTTCCTCCCCTGCATCCCTGTTCTCATCCACCTTCACTGTGTCTGTGAGACAAACACCTGCTTAGATATTTTAAGCCTTCATCAAGAGTCAACTTCCTTATTCTCCTTTAATTTTCCTACCATCACTGCATGTTATTACTTCCAAAACTGCCTCCATATCAGCTGCACATTCAGTTTTATTAAACAAGCACATGGTATGCATACCCATAGCTGCCAATCTGTATACATTACTTTTTAATAGCTGCATATGCGTAGCGTTCTTACCATCTAAATAATTTTCCTACTGCAAAAAGCAGGATTTTCCTCATTTTTTAAGGTGCGTTCAACGTTCTCAATGAGAATTTCAGGCACTGTTTGGCACCAGTACGACCTACCAACTGCCCAGAACTGGAGTTTAGGCAAAGTCAGAACAGTAATCTAAAACATTGACATCTTGATGCACCTTGGACTGCTTGCAGCAACTTGCAGCAGATGCAGCAGAGCTCCTTACGTGTGCTGTGGATTTGTGCTGCTGGTGCTGTGCTGGTGACTGGCCACTGCGGGCTGGAACTGGGGCAGCTCCCCAGTGTAGAATCAGTTCTACTTATTTCTGAATTGTCATTAATTTTATTCTTATCCTCATTTATTAATGGGCCTAGTTTCTCCCTCATCTTATCACATAAACAATTACATTAAAAGAGCGTTCTTAAGGCTTGAGAAGGCAAGCAATCAAAAGTAAATCAAAAATGCTCTGATGGAGGTTGCTCTGCAAGCTTTCCATGGACTCCCCATGTTTGGGGGTCAGAACATTGGCTTGGTTATACAACAGAAGCAGGGTTTCCCCCCTCAACCCCTGCCTCACACAGTACTGGATAGTGCTGAATGCAGTACTCTTCAATACTTTTTTCCTTTATTGTTCAGTGTGTGGTCCCTTACACCTAAGTTATCAAAGCCTACTCAAGTCCTGTCTCAAAAAAAAAAAAAAGTCCAAACTTTCCTCATGATCTGTCTATCTCCCTGAGCTTTTCACTGCCATGAGGGCTGCAACAGTGATTTCCTTCTCTAACGTCCTTGTCACACGACGTTCATTATGCTTTACAAAAGTGAAACTGAAGCAGGGAGAAATCACAGAATCACCAAGGTTGGAAAAGACCTCCGAGATCATTCATTCAACCACCACCTACCACCAAAATTTCCCATTAAAACATGGTCCCCAGTCTGTGTAAATGTCCCTTGAACATCTCCAGAGTCAGTGACTCCACCCTTCTCTGCAGCCCATTCCAGTGCCTGATCAGTCTTGGAGAAGTATTTCCTAGCATCCAACCTGAATCTCCCCTGGAGCAGCCCTAGGCCATTCCCCCTATTTCTATCAGTAGTTATACAGGCGAGGAGCTAAGTAGCTCAGTGTGTCTGTAAGTGTACCTGTAAGTGATGCATAGAAGATGCCTGGGGTCCCATTCTTCTGAGCATGTCAGTATGCAGCACATAATGTGTCCTAAATGCAGCTGCCATTGACTTCACTTGGAGCAAGATGCACAAACCATAGTCCGGGGTGGCAAATCAGGTGCTAAACAATGAGTCAAGCAGAATTATTATTAATATTACCTATAAAATTTTGGCTTGAGTAGACCTGAATAGAGGTACATTCAAAAGTATTATTGAAAGAGTAGCTAACTACCATAACCATTTTTCTTTGGAGATTCTGACTTCTCCTTTTCCCAGTTTTTAACATTATCAATAAGCTATTAAGGGGGCTGATTAAAAAACAAAAACTTTAATCTTGCATTTCTAATAAAAGGAGGAATGGTCTGGTAAAAAAAATGTCATTTTGTGATCACAGAGTATCTAACGCCAGTTAGACGGTGTAAAATAAGGTCCTTTGTGCATCTTTCAGCTTTCCTACCAACAACTTGGATTTGATTTTCCTATGCCTGTGAGACAGCATCAGCCTTGAAACATTTAAACCCACTGTAGAGACCGTATCAAATTCAGCTGTGGAACCGCTACTAAAGAAAAGGGTCCCTAAAATTCACCAAACATTTGTTCGCGGCAGAGGAGCGATAAGGGTGTGAAATGTTGCAGCCTATCTAAATCACAGAGCAGGAAGCCTAGAGGGAATGCACACTCCTGCTCTTACTCCCAGAGAAGCTCTCTCTGCTAATTAATTAACTTCTCCCTAGTCGAGAGCCTGCTGAAGAAAAACTGCTCTGACCCCTTGTTGTTCAGTCTGAGTGTTCAGGAGAGGTGGGAAGGAATGCACTGCAAGTAGACACCCTGTAGGGAAGGGTCAACATTGAAAATAATTGTTTTTCACAAAGTTAGAAAGAAAGAAGGAGAGAAAAGTATCCTGGACATAGGCAACAGCATAATGGACATAAATAGCTGAAGGATGGGGGATGAGAAGAAGCAAAGAGGGAACAACGTTGCATTGAGTGAAGAGAAAACTGGAAGGGGAGCAAGAAATGATAACGAGGAGTGGGGTCCCATCAGAAGGTCCCAGGCTGAAGGGATCCCGTTCTGCTAAGCACCCTGCTCCAAAGAGAAGGTGACACCAATGTCACAAAATGGCAGCAGACAGGTTGGAAAGGAAAGGACAGGGTCCCAAATATTCAGAGGTAACCAGGAAACCATGAATTCTAAAAGAGATGGGAGGAAATAAACGCTAGGAAGTTGCTGAAGTTATTAAAAGATAAGATTTACAGGCAAGTTCATTTCAGCTGGTTGGCTATCCAATCAACTACTGTTGCTAATTGGATTAGTTGCCAAAATAAGCTAAGAATAGAACCTTTCTTTTTCTTCTCGTTAATGCTTTCCAGGGACAAAGTCCTTGCGGGCAAAAATTAAATCTTTATTTCTAGCAACATAAAATTATCCACTATAAAAACGAAGAACCTTAACACTTAGCTGTACCTCTTCTTCTGCAGATGTTACAGTGGTTAACAGTCTTCTGCAATTACAGTGTGCTGCGAAATGGAACATTCTTGTTCTCCTCCAAATCAAGTGGTTTGTGGCAGATGCCTACTATTGTTCCTCTTTATTTTGTCATTTTTTCTTGTCCTTTCTCGAAGAATTTCATTGCTACATTTTCCGCAGTTGACTTACAGCTTTCTGGCAATATAAATACTTCTGACATAATGGAACAACCCTGGAGAAAGCCTTAGGTAATTTCAGAGTGCCCCTTAATATGGAGAACCCTGAGCATCCTCCTATTAGGTTTTTTTTTCCTAAAGCCAGTGTAACTGTTTACAAAACAGTGCTCTGAGAAGGAAACCTATTTCTTTCGTTCCTTTGCCAAAATCCATCTACGTAATAACCTGTAAATAAATTACATGTATAATGCATGCCCTGTGCTGTCTTCTTCTGCCCTGTAAAACAACAGATCCATTGAAATGAGTAACATCATGATTTCTGTTACTTATATTTTAGTATTATTTTATTCTTTGCCTTAATACATCATATCAACCAACATAGGCTACTCTTTCTTGAGGGTCATACAGCATGATGCCCACCCAAGCCCTTGGTTTCTGACTCATATTAACAGGTTTTTCTTGGGAAGATCTGTTCTTCACCAAGTATTAGCTTCTGGGTCTAAACACAGTTGATTACTCTAGGCCCTCTCATTAAGTTTTAGCTTCAGATTTTTTCTTCAACAAAAAGAGACTCTAACTTAGGAGAGGAGATGCTCTTCATAAGTCCTTTATAGAACTTCATCGCAGATGGAGAACAAAATCCTCAATTTGAAAGAGAGCAGGACAAAACCAGTTGAGGAGATTGTATGCAATTCCCTCTGAAGGGCAAAGAAAGTCTTAGTGTGATGCAATTGGCAAGGAGTGAGCATAGCAGTGAAGGCAGCATGATGTCAGCAACGTTGGTGTATGACTTCAGAGTGGGGAGTCTTACACCCAGTTTGGTTTTTTGCTGTTCACCCAGCTGCCAAACGGTTGAGTTCATTGCAAACACAGCCTGAGCTGCTGGCTGCACGTTGTTCAATGCAAAACAGCGATGAGGGCAGGTGCTGAGCTCATGGATCACAGTCCCTGCTTCACGCAGTCTTCCTTGTGGCCACCAGAGAAGCTCAACTTGCTGTAGCTTCAATGTAAAAAGTCTGCAAATTGCTTTGCGTGAGCTTAAGCTTATTCTCTCCTTTTCACTCTCTGTACTTTAACTGAACTCCCTGGACAGGGTAGCACTGCTGAAGGTGGCAAACTCATGGGGGTACCTCAGAGTGACAGCCTGCTACTACCTGTGGAAACAATGGCTTGAAAGCCATAGTAATGTGAAGTAACATGCTCTCTTTGCAGCCTTTTGTAGAGGACTAAATTAACCCTTATTTTGCCCATTGTGGTGCAAAGCCCGATTCCATTAGCAAGAATTTCTGTTTTCATTAGTGGGTGGTGGTAACGCTGAGCACTATGTAAAAAAACGCACGCAGTTGATACATACGTTTCACACATTGTCCATCCGTTTACATTAAAAGAAGCTTTTCTAGGCTGAGACCCCAGAACTCACTGCAAAGATTATCTTTCCAAAGAAGCCTCCTCTAAAATTAAGCCAAGACTTAATTCTGATTAAAAAAGAAGTCATTGCTGGGTGATAAGTTTGGACCTTTTCTCATGCCTGGTGTGAAAACAGAATCCATACACTACCCATGCCATGTCTGCCCCAGCATGCAGGCATCCCATTGGTAGCACTGAGAAGCAGCAACTATCCTATTCATCTCAGCACTGAGAATCTAAAGTTGCAAATTACTTCTCATCCCTGTCATCAAACTGTTATCGGCTTCTCCGCTGCTGAGTCACATAGATATCAAGATACTTCTATCCATCCCAGGAATCCTGCCTCACACTGAGTGCCAGCTTTTCCACCTGTTACTTGCTTAGCTATGGACTTATCCATCTGTTACGTGGGGTCTTACAAATACATTTGAGCACTTTTAATTTGGTACTCTCACCACAGCAGAACTTTTATGGGCAATGCAAACATTCACATCAAATTAATTAATAGGAAAAAATATACTGTATTTCATTTTGTTTAATATACTTGACAATGTCACAGAGACACTACGATTACCCTAAGAACCTTACTATAAAGCACTATGAGTCTCAGCTCTACCTAGTACAACAAACACCACTGCTCATGCCCAAATAGAAACGTACAGAGAAATAGCAGCTGAATTTTTGCAGGTTGTAATTGAAATCGCATGTCCCATATCAGTTAGCCAAAGCATAGCTCATCAAATAAAACATCCAAGTAGCCATTTTGCCTGGATGTTAAACACTTACCTTTGGGAAGGAGCAAACATCAAACATCTGCTGGGTTGTACTTATCTGGGGGCTGGGACAAGTGGATGCTCAGCAGTATTTTCTAATGAGGGAGGCTGCCCTGCAAACACTCAGGATAACCCAAAAGACTCAGAAACCAGCTGAGATGCATTTGCAGCTAAATACGATCCAGCTGTGTGGAACAAGACTTATTATCAGAAAAGTTTGGGGAGATACCCAGAATGTCATGCAGTTCTACTAATATTAGCTTTAGCAACTCACAATTATAATGACTAATTGGAGCCATCACTCATTGCTATTGAGTTCCCAGGTGAAAACTATGGACCAGAACCTCCATTAGCATAAATTAGCATTGGAAAGTCAATTAAGTTACACTGATTTTACACTGGTTTTACTGTCTTTCAGAAGGCTGAGAGGAAAAAGCCCCATTCCTGACTTCAATTTTTTTTTTCCTCCCAAGCAAATTGTTCCATTTTAAAAACATATCTCTATAAATTCAGACAGAAAATGATACTGATGTTAATGTGCCAGGTAAGACAGCTCTGCTTACCTGCTACCTTGGGCACAATCTGCGACTTCTAAGTTGGCTTCAGGGGGCTGAATGGGCACTGCTTTTCTCAGGAAAGGATGCAGGGTGGATAAGAGGTTTTCTGTGACAGGTTGCTTTAAAGGAACTGGTGCCCATTCCTATCAAGTGTGCAGAAAAGCTTTTTTCCCTGTCTTCTGGGCGTGTAAGGAAGTGAAAAAGGAAAATACAAAAGAAAAGAGTGAAAATACGCAATGTGAAGATGTGAACTGATTTCAGGAAAGCAGAAGACTGTGACTAGTCGTACTGTCTTCATAATTTGGTGTACCTAAATGGTTAGCTCTGAACCAACAATGTTCTCCAGTAACATCAATCTTTGTGGAAATCTGGCAAAATGGCACCAAAAAAGTCTGCGGGTTGATAGATGGCATCGATGTCAAACAGAACGCTCTAAATGTTTTACCCTAACTTAAAGTTATAGGAGGCATTCAAGAGAGTATTCCTGAAAGAACGGAGCCCCGTGCAAAATATCAGTGGTTTGTCAGCCCTCATTCAACAGAACTGTACAAGTGGGTAAGATCCTATGAGCTATATGACAGTGAAAATAAAAAATCAATGGATGATAGCCTAACAAATCCAAGAGCTTTGAGATTTCTTGCTCCATATGGCACGCAGGTACTGGTTTGTGTTTCTATTTAAAAACTCAAAGAAGCCAAACCCCAGACTCACACCAGTTGAGGGTTTTAGGTTTGTTGTTAAAGATTATCTCCCATCTGCAGAGATAGATCAGTGTCAGGCTGGCCCCGTGCCACTGGAAGGACTGCACAAGAGAAGAAGCCTGAGGTCTGCTGAGTGGAGTGCAAGTGTATTTGACGTAATGAGAAATTCCCCTAAGCATAATTTTTCATTTACAGTGGCACCAGTGTATCTGACCTGGTCCACCAAGAAATGCTTATGCCAATTTTCAGGCAGAAGTCATGAGCTGATTTTTTTTTTTTTTTTTTAACAGCTCAACCCTGTTTTTATAGCTCGCCGTATCACCACAAATATTTCAGTTTAACGGGAGGGCTTCAGACGACAGGAGGAGAGGTGTCAGCACAGAGCTGCCATTTGGTCGCGCTCGTTATTGCTCGCAGCCTCATTAGGGCAGGCTGGTGCCCCTGGAGCCCACAGCACGACTGACTCACCCACCACATCCCCCCCAAGTCCTCCTGCAGCTCAGGGTGCCGTGTGCTCCTGAATGCTCCTTCAAAACCAAGCTCTTATATTTTTGTCCTTGGCTTTTCCACTTATCACCAGCGCCCGTAGCCACAGCCTCAGCCGTGCCCATGGGATTTGTGCCATGGCAGCTCTGTGTGCCAGGGCCTGATCCTGCTCCCAGTCCTGTCCTTGGCCCTGGGTCCAACCCCAGCCCTGGTGCCCCTGTTCTCTTCAGCCATCCAGGGCCAGAGAGTCACAGCGGGATGCAGTTCTCCCCAGCTGCACACACAGAGATTAGGGCCACATGATTCTGTTTGGTAATTCTATCTGCTGTCATAGCTCATTTCAGCATCCCTCCAAACTCTTGGCTTCCAGTGGGAAATGTTCCAAATGGATTTCTTACCTCCACCAATAAGAACTAGGTAGCAAATTCTGCAGTGAAATATTCAGGATTCAAGTACTTTCTGAGGCCTGGCCTCTTAACTCTCTTTCTACGTTTTCACTTGAGTGAATGTGGAACTTCCACGTCCTCCAGGTGTTTTCAGACAACAGATCTGATTGCTATCAAGAATCATGCAGGGGAAAAATCATAGAATCATATCATAGAACCATAGAATGGCATGGATTGAAAAGGACTACAATGCTCATCCAGTTCCACTCCCCTGCTATGTGCAGGGTCGCCAACCAGCAGACCAGGCTGCCCAGAGCCATGTCCAGTTTTTAATCAGTTTTTCATATTTGCCACCTTTTGCTTTATTTCAGTTTGCATGCTGTAGCAATTAGCACTGCTAGGAGCTGTAGAGGTATGCTTTGTATGGGAGAGGATCTGCCAGTGCAGCGGTGTTGCACAGCTCTTT